AAAAACAACCCCACACCATAATCCCCCCTCCACCAAACTTTACACTTGGCACAATGCAGTCTGGCAAGTACCGTTTTCCTGGAAAGTGCCGAACCCAGACACGTCCATCAGATTGCCAGACAGAGAAGCGTGTTTCCTCACTCTAGAGAACATGTCTCCACTGCTCTACAGTCCAGTGGCGTCGTGCTTTACACCACTGCATCCGACATTTTGCATTGCACTTGGTGATGTAAGGCTTATTTGCAGCTGTTCGACCATGGAAACCCATTCCATGAAGCTCTCTATGCACTGTTATTGTGCTAATTTGAAGGCCATATGAAGTTTGGAGGTCTTTAGCTATTGGCTCTGCAGACAGTTGGTGCCTTCTGCACACTGTGCGCTTCAGCATGCACTGACCTCGCTCAGGGGGCGGGCGGACACAGACCATTTGGGAACACGGGCATTGCCAAGGGCCTGGGGTCAGTAGGGGGCCCCATGAGATGCCACTGGTACCTTTCATAGGCTTTTTTTTGGGTGTGGTTTTGAGTGTGGATGAGGACACAGGGGCCCATGATCCCCTATTGCCCGGGGGCCCCATGAGTTGTCAGTCCACCCCTGCCTCTTGCTGTTATTTTACGTGGCCTACCACTTCGTGGCTGAGTTGCTGTTGTTCCCAATTGCTACCACTTTTTGTTATAATACCACTAACAGTTGACCGTCGAATATTAAGTAGCAAGGAAATTAAACAGATGGATTTATTGCACAGGTGGCAACCTATCACGATACCACGCTTGAATTCACTGAGCTCCTGAGAATGACCCATTCACAAAAGTTTGTAGAAGCAGTCTGCATGCCTAGGTGCTTGATTTCATACACCTGTGGCCATGGAGGTGATTGGAACACCTGAATCCAATGATTTGGAGGGGTGTCCAATACTTTTCTTTTGGCAATATAGTGTATGTATATATATATATATATATATATACACGAGGGTTCTTCAAAAAATTTCCACACTTGCACATATATGTATAAAAGACCCATCGTATATATATATATATATATATATATATATATATATATATATATATATATAAAAATTAAACATTATTGCAGTTGTTTACAGTTATTTTATTTGCCTTTTGCTGTTCATCTTATTAAAATTTTTTGAACTTGTAGTACAAATTTAAATTCAGCCCTGACTCCAGATGTAGTTTAATGGGCATTCTAATGTTTTTATATTTATTTTAGACAAATTCTATTTATCATAATGACGTAACATAGGGATATTTGATCATTTAATTAAATATAATTGTCAATTTTTTATGGGTTAGCCCAAATCATTACAAGAACCCAAACCCAATAATACAAGTCCATACAAAATGCAAATAAGTCGAGATCTGAGCTGGTGAAAAGCACTGACCCTCATTCTGTGTAATACCTTTTTTTTATGGCAAAGGTAAATTGAGACTGCAGAAACATGAAAATGCAAGTCAAAGTGCAGCATTCACACCAAGGTGCTACAGACCTCAAAGGGACAACTTCCAAGGTACTACAGAACTACTTCTAAAAAATGCTACATGCATAATTGCCTTTGGGCTTCTGAAAACTCCAACCTGCAACATACATGTAGTTAGCCAGTGAAGTCAGAGAAAAGTCACAGCTCCTAATATGCAGCTCCAGGCCAATATATCAGAAATCATTAAAGCCTTGATATAGCCAGGGAACCAGAACTTTCAAAAGGGAAGTTTAGCAGTGCATGTTTTCTGTACAGGACAACTGTTCCTTTTATACAGTTGTCCAGAGGGGCGGACTGACCATTTGGAAACTCAGGCACTGCCCAAGGGCCCAGGGTCAGTAGAGGGCCCCATGAGATGCCCTGGTACCTTTTTCATAGGCTTTTTTGAGTTTGGCCATGGACACAGGGGCCCCATGATCCCTTATTGCCCGGGGGCCCCATGAGTTGTCAGTCCGCCCCTGGTTGTCCATTAACTTATCTCCTCGCTCCCACTGAGTGCAGCCTAACATTAAAAATGCTTACCTTTCCCCTTATGCACTGTGGGGTTTTACTTCCACCCATCTCCTTTTTCCTGCATGTACATTCTACACATCCATTCATTCTTATGGGTGAGCCATAGGCTAGAAGATGCTATGATAAATGATCACTTATAGAAATGAATGAGGCACAGCAAGAAGACGATCTGGTGGTAACGTTTTCTAAGCAAAGACTGTGCAGTGCTAGGCGTGGTTACATAGTGAATATTGCTGGAGCAGGGAGGAAGGCAAGTATGCACTTAGGTGGTTGAAGGACAACTGAATGTACTGTAGGTTCATCTGACCTTTATGTAGTGTTTAAAACATGTAGAGGAGTGAGTATTTACTCACCATACTCAGATGCAGGCACAAGCCCCGTTATTTTCATTTTCCCCAAATTGCTGAGTTGTTGGACACAACCAGGCAAGATACATTTGTCTGTCTCGCTACCTCAGCAGAGTGGCCACACTTCATAAGTATTGAGTGAACCAAGCAAAGTTCGATTTGCTGGACTTTCACTGAACAGTTGAAAAAGTCTGCAGAGCTTGGACATAACACTCAAACTCCACTAAAGTCTATAGGAGGCAAATCTTGTAATTTTGTCTGGCCTATTTCAAGGCCAATGTGAAAGCTTTTGTTAAAAATAGGGCATGTGTGGCAGGTCACTAATATAGGGGACATTTACCACATAAATAAATAATAAAACAATACCATTCAGCAGGGAGGGTTTTTTTTAATAAGGTAACAATAAAGTGATTGTAAAGGCTCAGTTTTTTTATTTTTTTAAAAATGACAAACATGTCATACTTACCTGCTCTGTGCAATGGTTTTAGCTGTGATTGACAGCAGCAGGAGACTGAGCCAAGTGTAAAGGGGAGTTGGAGGGGGAAGCTCCATGCAGAAGGTTTTTTTACCTTTGCATAGAATGCATGAAGGTAAAAAAAAAAACCTTCTGCCTTTACAACCACTTTTAAAAATACACATTTCCTTTAAATAGCATGCTTAGTGAATGCCTTATAATTGTTTGTGAAGTGGTTCACCTGTAGGATGTACTCTAGCAAAAGAGACATAAAAAACTATTTCTGCTAAATGACAGTTGAAATCCCAGACCTGCTTCAGTTTGTTAACAAAGTTTTTGGATCCTGGTTGATGTCATTATCCAGATATAGTAATAAACATATGTGGTCAGTGACAAAAACCAGCCTATCACCAGCCAGTTTGTTGACATGTTGCAGATAGTCAGGAAGCTGTCATTTTTAGCAGGAGTACAGCAGGAGAGAATCATTGTGGAGTGGGTCATCACATTTTCATTGAGTGGGTCGAAGACAATCGCTCATCGTGTGTTGACAACAGATCTACATTTTTTTTTACATAAAATGCTTTTGCTATGTTGTCTGTATGTATATTTGCTGTGTAATGTTTTTGTGAATGATTAACAAGGGGTAATATATACCCTTTACCCATACCTTTCACATAGAGTGTGGCTTTCTAGGGGCCTCTTATCTTAAATGGGGCTTACAGATTCTGATAAGTCCCCTCCTTGTAGACCCCCCCCTCCTCCACAGTTTTTACAAGGAGTCTCCCTTTAGGAGTCTACCTTTAAGAGTAACCGAGCATGCTCAGCTCAGGAGAGTTCGGCTGAAAGTTGGAGATGGAGTGAGGCTGAAGAGAGGAGCCCGGGAGGGTGTCTTCTAGTAGCCACCAACCCACCAGCAGCACATTAGAAGGACTGAGTAAGTAGACCTGCACTCCCTGGGCCAGAAAGGGAAGGAGGCATTCTAGTGGAAAACCGGATTAGCCTGCACCCTGGACTGCTTCACCATTTATGTGACAGACACCAGATCCCCTGCTCAGGGATTCACCCAGAACAGCTGGATGAGGAGCATCTAGGGTCTGGTGTGCTACTACAGGAGATGCTGGCTAGCTCTCCAAAAAGAGACGGTTTGCTGTAACCATTGTACATTGTTCAGGAAGTTGTCCTCGGTTTCTCAGTTCCTTTGGGCATTTCGTACACCCCTTACCCTATCCAAGTTTAAATCCACTTAATAAAATCCAAAAAAACAAGCTCAAGGACTGGTTACTGACTCCATAAAGCAAGTATTTGTGGAGATATGTGTTGCCTGGCTGTACAGGATTATAGGGGGACCCAAAACAACAGCAACTCCTAAGGGGGTAGTGTATTATATATTCCCATTCCCAATAGAAGGGTGTACATATGAATAAGTTGGTTTATATAACCTAAACTATTTTATGTACCCAGGGCCAGTGCTAGGCATTTTTAAATGAACAAAACATGAAACTGCTAAATGTATTTTTATTTGCAAATATAAGTGCCATGACATAGCACCAATATTAAAGACAAAATATATATTACTGGTAATATTATGCTTACTAACAAAATAGTGCTCAAAATGAACCAGTGCTCAAATAATCCAGAATGATTCACATCTTCATGTATATAAAATAATAAATATAATATATAAGTGTCCACCAGAGTCAATATAATCATACAAAAATTGAAGTCCTTCATACAGTTCAAATAAAATCTTGTTGCAAACAGCTTCCCAAGTGACTGGACCAGAAACCTCAAAAAAGAAAAAAACTCATATAGTGCATTATCATTAGCAAAAATTGAATAAACAACTGTGATATACTCACAAAAACACGTGATCACTAATAGTGCAAAAAGTGAACAACCGTGTAAAATGTGCCAGTGAAAACACTACCGTGAAAAAACATTCCGTAAAAAAGTGTGAAAAATTGTGTACACTTCTATGGTGTGCAGATTAAAAACCATTACCGAATAACATAAACCATAAGACTTGTGATCATTAGGAGGATGATGTTATGAATATACTCCAACAGAGAGCACCTCACAGCCACATGGATATACTCCTCTCTATCCACCATCTCCATGCTCCAAGCGATGCCAACCCAGAAACCAAGAGTGCTAAGAATAAATCCTCCAACAGCTATATCACAGGAGCGCCTCACTCTGCTTGTTGCAAGAAAATTTCCAACTCCAACCACCAACGATCTAACTGAACCATACAATAATGACTCGCGTGCACATGGTGTCTTTTGCACATCAAGGATCCACAATAATTTGAATGACTTCTCTGTAGATGCTTGACCTCCCTGGTCCGCCATGATGGCTACAGAGAAGTCATTCAAATTATTGTGGATCCTTGATGTGCAAAAGACACCATGTGCACGCGAGTCGTTATTGTATGGTTCAGTCAGAAATGACCACAAACACAACAAATACATTTTTAAAGTTTAAATGTACGTAGCACTACTCCCTTAGGAGTTGCTAGAAGATTTGGGTCCACCTATAGTCCTGTACAGGCATCACACATCTCCACAAAAGCTTGCATCCAGAGTCAGAAATCAGTCCTTGAGCGTTGGTTTTGTTGTTTTATTTAGGGAATTTGAACTGGGATAGGGTTAGGAGTATACAGGAACTATATATGAACCTTCCCTGCAGCACAGACTCTGTTGGAGAGCTAATCAGCATCCCCTTAATGTACCACCCCAGACTCTAGATGAATTTCTCCTCTTCAGCCAGCAATCTGGAGGTATCCTTGAACAGGGGATCTGGTTCCTGTCACTTTAAGAGATGAACAGTCACAGGTATGTGGCTAATCTGGTTTCCCACCAGATTGCTCCTTCCCCTATCTGCCCAGGGGGTGCAAATGTACTTACTCAAATCTGCTCCTGTACTGCTGGTGGGTTGGTGGCTGCTACCAGGCCTATCATCTGGGCCGCTCCTTCCCTGCCATACAGGTGTTTCTGTCTCAGGGGGCCTGTGAGCTCTGAGCTTTCCTGTTTTCCCGTTCCAGGCCTGCAGGTAGGCCTCATCCCACTAGGCCTCCTCTCAGCCTCCTTCCGTCAGCCTCACATTTTCCTCTCTGTCTTCCACCCGAACTCTCCTGCAACTGAGCAGGAGGCTCTAACACTTTTAAGGGTGTCCCAGCCCCCTGCAAGCCTTCTTTTGGGGATTGGCTAGAATGCAACCAGACACTCCTCAGATCCACTCACTGCCTCTAGGGACTTCTTCCAAAGCACTAAGAGCAAAAGGAAAATCCAGAGGGGCTGGCCCGCAGTACCTCTCAGCTCCTGACCATGATTTCACCTTCTGGCCATTACACCTAGGCTGCTTCTCAGCCTTCCTCACTACCAATTAAATACTAGCTCCCTCTAGCTAAACTAAGAGGATGCTACATTTACAATCAGTTAACGCATAATAATAGCAATGGTAGCAATGGAATGATCCAATGCAATAATGTTTGGATAACTGTTCTGTCTGTACAGATATGTGGATTTAAATGTCTAGGCAGAGTGTCATGGCGTAGTCTTATCTCATTGATCTAGATATTTTATTTTGTTAAACTACCTTTTACAGTGCTATTTTTAGAAATACATGAAATACCATAAATAAAAAATACATAAGTGACATAAATAGAAAAAAAAATACAAGTCCAAAGTTCTATAAATCACTTCCACCAAATGCACGAAAGTGATAGGTAGAGGAGTGATCCTCTTCACTGGTTCAACGCAGTCTGAATATAAACCACCACATGTTTCATCAAACACTCTGAGGTTTACCAGATGTACTGTGACCCTCATAAGAGAAGTCAACAACAGCGTTTGTATATCAATCCACCAATCGCCAGCTGATCGCCAACAGATAGGTAGCCTCCTATCAGTTCATCTCCTATATGTATGGATAGGCTCAATAAACCACATGTGCAAAAAAAGAAATGTTCCAATAGTGTAAATCTGATATAAGTTTAATGTTAAAATGGTTAAAAACATTCACATGTAGGCCGTGTATACAGGCATCTCAGTAAAAACTACATATCCCAGAAGCGCACGCATGTGCATAGATGTGATGGCCTCCGGCTCCGCTCGATGCGTTTCATCACAAATCTGATCAAAAATATGCATAAAATACAATCCCACAGTGTCCAAATTATCCAAAAAATAAAATAACCCAATCCAAAATATTAGAAATGTCCTCCAAAATAAATATAGTCACTCAAAATTCAAAAAAAACGTCCATACGTTCAAAAAACCTTCATGTTGCAAAACAACCTCCAAAGTGATTTTTGGGACCATAGAACCTCAGAGAAAAAAGAAAAAAAAACTCACATAGTGCGTTATCTTCAACAACTTGAGTATAAAAACACATGTGCTTTCAACACAAAAACACTCGTGATCACTAATAGTGCCAAAAGTGAACAATCGTGTCAGTGTCAGTGAAACAATCTCGTGCACCAAACAAAACAAAACAGTGAAAGCTTGTGGAAAAATGTGTACACTTCTAAAGTGTGCAATTAAATACCTTTACCAAATGCCAAAAACACAGGGCTTGTAATCATCTAGGCAGGGTGTATTCATATGTAGTGTTCCATCAAAGAGATCCTCACAACCACATAGACAAACTTTTTACTGAACACCATGCTCCAACAATGATGCCCATCAAATATATGGAGTAAATAATAGTGTAAATCCACATATAATCATGAGTAAATACTTTATTACATGCTTACATTATCCTTCATCTTTAAATTGCCAATCAGAATTAGTAGCAGCCAGACCTCTGGAGATCCTCTGAGAAACCTCTTGTGTATAATCTCGGACTTTCCAGGATCCAAAATGGCCGCTCGGTTACTTCCGGTTCCAATGTGCGTCTTGACGTCACTTCCCTTGACGCGTTTCGTCATTGGACTTAGTCATAAGAGATCTGACCAAGTCCAATGACGAAACGCGTAAATGTGTATTTACACGAAACGCATCAAGGAGACCCCCCTGTACATGGAGTACTGACCTATTATATCATTCTAAATATCTCTGGATGTAAGTGTCTGTTTTTTTACTTTTTTACTTGCTTACAATTGTAACTCCACTTGTCTAATAAATACTACACTATTGGAGTTTTTCTCTTTCTCTGGGCTCATTTTTTGGCAATTGTGAGCTCCCCCTCCTTTAAGGTGCACCATAGTAGGCGACTCACACTAAAGTTTATGATCCCCCTGGTGGCTGAAATCCGTACTACATGATGTATCCAATATGATGATCATACACTATACTGGAATGAGGAAATCTGCCTTGGTCTGATGACATCTGGTGACTCAACTCCACCTGTCAACTTCACCTGTCTGCAGAGTTCCTGCTTCCAGAGTACCTTGGAGTAGGTCTTATTTACTCCAACGCACAAAACTTTGTGCCATCTGGTTAATGCATTGTATACTCATCTTTTACAAGCCACGGAAGTCACGATAATCTAACAGCCATCTAATGAACCACGGTTGTCACATTGCACTTTTTATTACTCTTATTTATCTATGTCATTTTTTGCACTCTTTAGCGCTGCATTTTATTGATTATTTTATATACTATTGGAGGATTTAAGGTATTCCCTCTCATTTTGCTGGCCGCTGATCTTGTTTGTTGTTTTATGTGTCACCCAGCGCTCGTATATTTACTGCTTTATATTTTACTTATTGTTTCATCACAAATGCCATTATCAAGGGCACAGAGACCATCAGAAGCCATATGTCTTATATAGAATGCAGTTATTAACAACAAAGGAAGCAGAACTGAAATGAATGTTACGGCCACCATAACTGCTATCTCGAAGGTGGAAAACAAAAACAAAATGCCCACAAGGGTTGAGGAGTGACTCGGAAGGGAGGGAGTACCTGCATCTATACTCTGATAAAAAAAAAAGCCCTGATTAGAATGTATTTAGATGGAGTGGGGTGTTCTTACTGCATACAATTGTTTTTGTTTATAATTATTAATTGTATCTTATTTTATTAATTACTTTCTGGATTTTAATTTAGATTTATTCATTAATACATCATTTATGTTTTTGGATTTATTGATATTTTTAACATATCCTGTAAAAAGGAAACATCAGCATAGGTTGTAGCAGGTTGCTTTTTTATTGAATCACCAATACTGACTACCAGTGATGCATCCAGAATATCAGCATGACCCTTTAAACAGCATCAGAAGATCTAGACTAGGGGCAGCAACTCCCAGAACATGTGCCAGGGGTAGAACCCAACACCTTTTGTGCTGACATGCCACAAAGCCAGACCTTCACAGCCAGTGGGTAGCCCAGCTGGTGGCCCCTTTAGCCACACAACTCTGGAAACTTTGCAGTCAAGTCACAGCTTGGCTCTTTCTTGGCAATTTGATTGATAGACCAGGAGGGAGCTGGAGTGGTATTGCCCTGTAGTTGTGGAAAGGGAGATCAGGGGATCAAGAACTGAGCTGTAAGAGAGCTTGGGTAGAGGAGAAGAGAGCGTGGACAGTGCAGGGTGAGCAGGAGGAAAATCACAAGGGAAAGACACAACTAGCTGTTGAATGAGGACAAAAACTGTACCCATACTCACAGGGAAGAGGTGTGCAGTCTGCCAGAGTGAGAAGAATCTGGTGGGGACACATGCAGGACAGTGTGGACAAAGAGATAGGGGATACAACTGCCAGAGAGGAGCAACCTGGGAACAGGTTCTAACAGTTGCTGGTTACTAAACAGTACTAATTAGCCCAGTAGGCCACAAGGGCTATGGCTATGGCAAACATGATCAGTGTATATAGTATGTAGACTCAGACTTGAACTGTACCACTTTAAGCCTCATCCAGTATGTATTCTGCACCCATTATTTATGGTCTACATTATCCCTCGCCCAGGTTTTCTCTCATTATAATCATCTAAATTGGGAAGGTATGTTACTGCATACCAAAGATAAGAGTATTATTGCAGTCACTGACATCAATGTGGAGGTTATTATAACAGTCACTGACACCAAATGTGGAAGTTATTGTAACAGCAACTGACACCAATTTTGGAGTTTATTATTACAGTCACTGACACCAATGTTGGAAGTTATCATTGCGGAATTTAGTTTATAGCACTACAATTTACTTACTAAACATGACTGAGAATGTGAAGTAGACATTTTATTTGATATATCTGGCACTCTCATTTGTCAGCACACTATGCTCTAAAGGCTGCCTACCCCTTACCTAGACTTTGATGATGTAGCTTTCCCATGCTCACTGTTATACTGAT